CGGGGGGGGGGGGAGGAGGCAAAGAGAGCCGGAGGCGGGGGGGGCTAGAGACAGAGACAAGAGTTGGAACAGACGGGGAGAGGGGATGGGGTTGCGAAGGCAGGAAGGCGGGGAACATGAGGGTGGATCTATAGACGACAAGCGCACGTGTGTGTATGGGATAGACTATGGTTTGGGTGTGTTGCGAAACGCCGGAGATCTAGGTATGTAGTCGTAGGAGTTATCAATGAGAAGAAAAGAAGGACCCAGAAAAATGAACACAGGCGCGATACTAAATAGAACAACAATAGGGAAATCATATAGGCGGAGTTTGTTTCAAATTGGATTATCCCTCGTCTTGTAGCTTGTGACTTTGCGCAGAAGGCCGACGCGCGTAGAGCGTTCTAACTCTGCGGCCCAGGCGGGAGTGGATACGCATGAGACCAGCACTCACTGAACAGCTTTTAGAAAACGTAGCTCATACAAACCCTGTACTGTATCCAGTGGGTTTCCCTCCTATCCACCGCACAGACTTCACCACGTGCCCTTGAACGGGTGGTCTTTCGGTGATTGTTTGCTCCATATGTTTTATAGTAACGTAACACAATTCTGGCCCTCGGAGGTCGTGGTGTGGACAGACGTTTCTTCCAGCGTGACAGAATTGTTTCTTCGAAGTAGCCAATTTGGGCCTCACGCGTCCCTCTTGACTCGTCTACCCTCTTCCCCGCCAGGTCTCTTTGCGACATCACGACCGCTCCGCCAATGGCCCGCGGAGGAATGGGGGGCTCCGTGGATCACCTACGGTCTCCCTCCCCTAGCCCGGCCAAGGAGCCTTGCTCCGCTCCCGGTGGTGGCGGTGGCAGCGGTAAGTTGACCCGCGGGGGCAGCGCAAAGTGGGGATCCGGGGGAGGGGGGGGTGGGGGCGGCAAGCACGGGGGGAAGGGTGGCGGGAAGCACCACGGCGGTAGCGTCAACGTCAGCGGCGCGGCCGTCGTTGTGCACGGGGATGGCGCCGCGCCGCCCGTGCCCGGTGGCAAGTATTCGAAGAAGATGGCTCTCACGAACGGTCACTCCTGACTGTTAGTTGTTGCCGGTGTCCTTTCGCGGTCGTCCCGTGTTTGCTGCCTTCTGTTTTCCCTCCTCTTGTTGCCCTCTGGTGCGGTGCTTGGCCGCTACCGCAGAGGCCGCTGCGCGCGGCTTTGCTTGGGGGTAGTGTAGCACCGTTTGCGAAGTACCGTTGGTTGTAACGCTCCTTGCGGCTGGACATTGACGTACTGGTTTCACCAGCTGTGGTGGTCACCGTTTCGATCGGCTGGGTTTAGCCTTCGGCGAACCCACAACCTACACTTTCTGTACTCGTACAAGATAAGCTGATTGCCGTGTGTATCGCGTGTAAGTTAAAGCTTTTGGGCGTCGCGCGGCTGGGTCTGCCGCTGCCGCCGTAGCTTCAAGGAGATAGATGTGGACTCTTTTCTACCTTTTCGGGCTTCTTGCCCCGTCTTGACAGTTCAGAGTTCGTCTCGCCTTGACACTGCTGCTGCTACTGCTGCCGTCAAATTTGGCCAACTCAACTCACGGCAGGTCGAATCGTCTTGAAGTGGTGCTTGCTGCATGTTGCGAAAAACACGACGAAGCCAGGGTAGGGTGAAATGTCATGCATGCGTGCTTTTCGCAAACCCCTCGTTTTCAGGCAAAGAGTGCCTGGCTCGCCTTTGTCGCGTCGGCGTTGAACGGTTATTCCGTACCGCATAGTATACCCGTGTCTCGTCTCTCTTCTGGCGTATGATCTGGAGCACGCGACCATCGGCATTGTTGAGGGCTCCTAGACTGAGGCAACCCCAGGGGGCGTTGACGAAGAAAGGCTGTGTCACACGCGTGTGCGCTCTGCGTAACTCAGTACGCGATGACGACCCTGCCGCTGCTACACACACGCATCGGCTGTACGACCTGTCAGGGCACTACGAACGTTGCCTGTTGTTGCATGGGGCACGTTTTTGATCAACCACCAAGCAAATCTCACCTTACTCGCCGTTTGTTATAGGGCCATCATGGTGTACCTGTGTTGTTCATGTCCTCGGCTGTTAATCCGAGTCTCGAGACACGTACGTACATGCGTGCCCTTGTTGGGTAGTTCGGCTGTGATAACGGGTTAGTTGGACCTGTACGGAATTTGAAGAGTACCACTGTGAGCGGAGACCGGAACGGTTTTTACTGTCAAGTCAACAATCGCGTATATACGCATGTGCAAGTACAACGGTGGCTGCAAGTAGGGTTGGCTAGAACGCACCCACTTGTTTTTGTCATTTTTGGACCTGGGGGGGGGGGGGGGGGGG